CTGAGGTGTGGTGAGCCCGTAAGTGGGATCATTTCAAGTCCACCCTAGTTTGGGGATTTCAGGGGGTGTCGGCCGTTGGGTGGTTCAATGGCCAATTGAGTCATCTTTCCAAGATTCCTTTTGAGTCTCTCTCCCCTCTCCCGGGGAGACCCACGTGACCAGTTTTGGCAGTGAGCAAGTACAAGTACAAGTGTGCGTGTGCATGTGTGTTTATACGCCATATGGTGCAGTGATATGTGCAGTCGATTTCAAATCGAGAGGTTGTGGGTTCAATTCCCAACGATTATGGTAGGCCAAAATGTATGTGTGTGTGTGTGTGTGTGTGTGTGTGTGTGTGTGTGTGTGTGTGTATGTGTGTGTGTGTGTGTGTGTGCCAGTTTCGGAGGCGACAGGACCTGGAGCGCCATGTGAAGCACTGCCTACCTCTCCCCTAACCTCTCTGACAGTACCTCCCTTCGGGGAGCGGCGTGGCCATTTCTGGCAGCTGTCAATAGTAGTAGTAGTAGTAGTGGTGTGTGTGTGCACGCATGCACATAGGGATTGCTGGACTATATGATCAACTTACGGGACGGTCTAGGTTGGTGGAACTTGGTGACTCTAACCCCTTTCGGAATTCTACCCTGCTTCAACAATTTGAGAACATACGTCTTGGCGCTACGTCGATTGACTAAATGTCTGAAATAGGTAAGACGTTGCTCCTCTGTACGGAAGCGACGGCGGCGCAGATGCGGACCAAATGGCTTTAGGTTTCCTACTGCTGAGCCACCATCTGCTACTGATTCTGGAGCAACTGCTCCGTCGTGTCTGATAGCATCGTACTTTCCGTAGCTATCTCCTGGATTGCCTGTAGTTGTCACGCCGGATGTACGGATTTCATCGCGATGTCCATGTCGCTTGCCCGAACCATCTCCACTTGGTGGTGGCGGCGGCGGTGCTGCTGGAGCATCACATAGAAATCTTGCTGCCGCTGCACTCCTGACTCGTTTATTCAAGACAGAGTGCTCGTGCACTGGGCTCTGATGGAGACATCCACCCACTCTGGCACTGTATCCATGTCCAATGACCGTGAGCGACTGGAACGAGCGTTGCTGCAAGACACATTTCGACTGCCACGACCGTAGCAGTGATAAGCGGCCATCAGCCAGCAACGATGCAGCCATTCTCGTAGGCTGAGATATATTACGTTTCCATGTTCGCATATACACTTCAACTCCTGAACAAATTGATTTGTTCACTGGTTCTTCTCTGATCTATCTCTTTCATTTTTCATTCAAAAGAATTTTTTTAAACCGTGTAAATAATTTTTGCGCAACGAGTGTATGCGCCATATTGGTTTCCCCCAGCAACATGTGCATGTGATTCTGTGAGTCGAGTGCGCCCTTGCCCTTCACCATGTTAACCTTACTACTACTAGCCTGGCCTGCACTGCCCCGTATACACGGCTGTTACGTAGATCACAAAATCGGACATTCAAAATGGCGTCATTTTTTTGAAACTTTTTGAATTTTTGAACGCGACGGCCCCCAGAGAATAGCTGAGAATTGCATTTTTCACGTTGGTATCCAGGCTATTTTGGCTCCTATCGTCTCCCATCGACACGGTTTACCATACAACCGCGATTTTCGTCCAGGGGAAGCTTCAAGGAACGCATTGATGCCTTTTGGATCGTCTTTCCCAAGAGGCGACAGGTTTCTGTCGCCACGTCGCCTCCACGTCCTTTGTTCTTTCGATTCCCAAAACTGCTCTACTTTCATTGCTGCCTACATCCCGGCGCCGAGTTTTCGCAGCTGCTTGCTGTGTTTTTGGCGGCCCTAGAGACCTTCTATAGCTCGAAAATCGCGCTCTTGTCCCAGATCGCGCAAAGGAAGTCTCGATCGCGCATCGACATTTTAGCCTTGTTTGTTGCTTTCTGCTCTGCGATGGAGCACCACTCGAGTATTCTTGAATCCGTGTGTCGCATTGGTGGCCAAAAACTTGCCAGTGCTAGTCACAAAACTCCATATCCGGTGAAGAATTATGTTGAAGAGATCGCCAAAGTTTTTAAAATTGATGTTTCCAAAGATTCCCCTGACGTGCATCCCCAGTACATGTGCTCACTTTGTCAATTTGCTATTGCACGTTCAATGAGAGATGACACATATAAGTATTGTAGTGGGGGCTGCAATGGTCCAGTTACATGGCAACCACATACGAGATCTAACTGTGCCGTATGTAAGAGTGATGCTGTACGAGCCAAGGGCGGCCGTCCACCGAAACGGAAAGCCGTCAGTGAACTGCGTGGCCAAGCGGCAAAACGACAGACACCAACGGCATCAACATCAGCTGAACTGCCAGAAGGCAGTCCTAGCTCTCAGCAAAGACGCACCAGCAGCAGTAGCAGCGGTGACACCAACACAATAGCACACACCACTGATAGTCAAACATCCGCAGTTACTTTGGACGAGATTTCGGCGCACGCAGCGCCTATGTATCGGGCTGAAGCAGCATTAGAGAAAGAGCGGTTTATTGACAGTGGAGCTGTGCAGGAATGCATGATATGTTTGCAAGTGGTAAATGGAGCAGTTCAAGCCAAATGCTGTGAAAATATATTCTGCTCAACATGCGTGCACACGTGGATGAAGAGTCACAATACATGTCCAGTATGCAGACAGCCAATGGCACTGGCGACACTGCAAAAGCCATGCAAGCTAGTGTGCAATATGGTTAGCAAGTGGGGTGTACATTGTGACTTCCATGAACCAGCATTGTCGGGTTGCCCAGCAACCGTTCGCCTCCATGAATTACGAGGTCATGTCACATCATGTCCGTTCAATCCATCCACATCCTCAGGAACGCCCATTCGTACTGCAACCAAAGCTGCAACAGTGGAGGAGATCTTAGCAGCGTCACCATCAAAGCTACGGGGCGATGTGAGTGACAGACTGACCTGTCACCTTGTGTCCGCCAAAGCAGAAGATGGGAGGCTGGAAGTGAAAACCAGCAGCCAAGGAAGACCGCAAGTTTTCATGCGAACAACAGTTGGCAGCAAGCAGCCGGAGGAGGCATCAGCCAGGACGCTGAAACGACGGTCACTGGAAATGGAGCGCATCACAGAGACAGTTTGCACCACAGCAGATGCAACACGGCATGGCGTTGCTGGACTTGGCGCTACCAGCATCAAACCACCTTCAGGCACTGCCCTTGCCATCAAGGCCGATCTAAGCCTTCCTTGGGCGCAACTCCGGAAGCTGCGCAGATGGCTCCGCTCCTTCGGAGTTCAGCTTGAATCGGAGAGAAGCATTCGCTCATTCATAGCCACCACCTTGCCGAAATACACAGTGAAGCAGCTCCCCTTTGTCAAGCGGACTGGCGAGTTGTCACTTGCTGCAGCTGTCTACTTTCCAAACCTAACCGACATCATTATCCACTACCTCGACATACTTGACAGCGGCAGTAAGCTGACATGGCATGATGGCGCCATCCCAGAAACGGAGATATGGGTCAAGCTGGGCGGTGACCATGGTAAGACAACATTTAAATTCGTGATGCAAATCGCCAACACCATGCATCCAAACTCACTCGCCAACACTGTGCCAATCTGCGTGTTTGCAGAGAAGGACTTGCCGGCAAACCTGGAAACTGCACTCTCAATGTATCGGAACCAAATTGCAGAGCTACAGGGCCAGAAATGGAAAGGCAAGACCATTGTGCCTTATCTGTTTGGTGATTACGAGTACCAAACCATGAACTACGGCTTGTCGGGTTCCAGTGGCGTAAGGCCTTGCCTCCATTGCTTGTGCACGAAGAAAGACATGCAGGTCCCACCAGCGAACCGCGACGTACAGTATGGAGCACGGTCCTTAGAGAAGATGGCGGAGGACTATGCACAGTTTACTAGCGCAGGTGCTCTGCTGTCAAAGGCAAAGCTGTATAACAACACCATCCGACCAGTCCTATTGCCAGTGCCCGTTGCGAGCGCCATTATTCCAGCGCTGCACCTAGACCTCGGTGTATTCCCGTGGATCTTTGATGTATTCACACGCGAGGTCCGTCTTCTGGACATGCAGCTTGCAGAACAATGCGACGCTGAAGAGCAAGACAGTGGACGGTTTAGAGCCTTGTCAACTGCAAATCACAAGTTGTCTGGCTGCAAAACAGCGTTCTCGGAAGCAACAGCGAAAGCCACCGCTCTGGAGAATCATCTGCACTTCATCGTCTTGTTTGGCCAGCAACAGGGCATGGCGATAGAAGCACTCGCAGGCGTGCTACAACGGGAGGTTGAGCAAGCACAGGCCGACACAGAGCAGTGTAGCTCGCAGCTGAAGATTGCTGAAGACGAACTGGCCAAGTTGCGCCGCAGCAAGGATGTTCTCGGCCCGTGCGAAGCGTCCATAGAGCCAGTACTGCAGAAGAACATTATCCATCGGCAGGCCTATCACGGCGGTGCTTTCGTAGGGAACCATATCCACCGTGCCCTCAAGCCCGCCGTGATCACAGCTATCACTGAGGCCCCAGCAATTGTCATTGGAGATCGGTGCCCAGCTCTGCGGAATGACGCTCAAGTAGTCAGTGAGCGGTACAAGTCCCTGTTCAGCCAGTACGCAGCGTGCAGATCTTCCTTCAGCCATTGCAACAAATGTGGAGAGGAGGAACTGCAGCAATTGGAGCTCTCCATTGCCTCGTTCTTGCAGAAATGTCGGAGCGAGGTGGTGGAGAGAGGCTTAGGTCACATCACTCCAAAGCTGCACCTCCTTGAGGAACACACTGTGCCGCTGATGCGGAGAGTGCACGTCGGGCTTGGTCTACTGTCGGAACAGGGCGCGGAAGGAATTCACGCCGAGTTCAACCTGCTCGAGAAGAGATACGGTTCCATTCCCGGCGAGCTTGAGCGCCTGCATGCTGTTGCAGAACAACACCTCGTATGCACCCTGCCAGACGTTGCAGATCAACGGCCCAAAGTTCGATCGAGGCAGCGGACTGCTCCATCGCAGGCAGATCAACCAGCCAGTCCGCCATAACACTGACTACACGCAAAGCCAGAGAGGTAAGGTCTAACTGTTCACTTCTACTTCCTCCAATAATAATTCTTCTTCTTGATGTTTTCGACAGCAAGACTTCTGTTCTTACTTCCTTGTCGTTTCAAAAAATATTTGGGTTTAGACCGACTTTACCGAAAGAAAGTACTAAATCCGGCGAAATTATATAATTCTATACATTTTGTACTAAGTCGAAAGGATTTCAGTAAATCCGCAGCGATTTCAAACTTTTCGCCGCCATCTTGTTAGATGTCCACTGCACGGCTGTTCCCACCAGGGAGTCGTAAAATACTTTATTTTACGACTCCCTGGTTCCCACTTGGCCATCTAACAATATGGCGGCTTTTGCGCCGTTTTTGACAAATCCCAACGGTATTTTATAATACGGAGCGAATTATTACATTTTCACATCAAAACCATGACGAACCGAATTTTTGTACTTGCTGACAAGCGCGTCAGACGCGTCCTCGATCGCCTCGAAAATATTATGGTGAGGAAAGATATTGAGATGAGAAGAAAGGAAAAAATTATTTTGAGAGGAGAGAAAGCTAAAAGAGCTCAAACGAGATGGAAGGCCGAGAATTTCAGATAGGCCAGCAAACAAGATGCAGAGGAACACTAACTTTACTGCGAGGATTTCCTCTTCCTGCTCACTGGACGGAGCGACTCGTGTTGTGGGAGAGTTGCAATCAAATGCGTCTGTGCAACAGACTTGAGGCTCTCCAAGGGATTGCGGATGGCCTCGTGGTGTCTCCTCAGCTCGTTGAAGCGGGCGTGAATGCTCTCACTCCCTTGCTCTGCGAGGAGACCAAGACCAACGCCTCGCCGCCGGATGGACGGCACGACATGCACCTCCAACATGTGCAATTTCGGCGTGATGTGGCCGAGCTTCTTGCTGACGACCCTATCTCGGCATGCAGCCATAAATGTTTCCACCAAGCCTTCTAGCTTGGATATGGTGGCCTCGTCCATAGGCCTGCAGTGGCTGAAGAGAGCAGTGCACTCGCCATACAGGGACATAAGGCGCTGGTAATCCTCATGAATTCGATTTGCCTCTGGGAGCAGCAGTGGCGCACGAGAAGCTACTGCAGATAAATGTGCTGTGGTTATTTCAGTTGTCACTGCTGGCTGAAGAGCTATGTGCACATGGTTGCCCACAAAAGCACCTCCATGGTATGCTTGCCTATCGATTCCATTGCGCTGGAAAACTGGCTCGATGCTTGCTCAACATGGCCCCTCACACTTTTTGTTCTGTTTTATTGCGGCCATTTGGTCGGTGAGTGACTGTCTCCGCGCAAGCAATGCAGTGCGGCGTGCATCACCATTCTTCCACTGGTCTTGTAGGTGTTGTGTCACGCTCTCCACTGTGGCAGCATGTATCAAGCTGAGAAAAGAGAACAATGTACTGGACTTGCTGCTGCACTAAATGTAGTTGTTGGGTAACTGCAGAAATCTCCTCATCCGTTTTGCTGGCTTCCGCATGCAGTGACAAAAGCTTTTCAAAGCTTCCAGCATCACCAGCTACTGCTGTAGCAGCAATGGCTGCAAGGATGACAGTGGCAGCAGGAACGCCTGCAGGAGCGACAATGGCTGCAGGAACAGCTGCAGGGACGGCAGTGGCAGCAGGAACGGCTGCAGGGACGGCAGTGGCAGCAGGAACGACTGCAGGAACGGCTGCAGGGACGGCAGCAGGAACGACTGCAGGGACGGCTGCAGGAACGACTGCAGGGACGGCAGTGGCAGCAGGAACGACGGCATGGACGGCAGTGGCAGCAGAAACAGCGGCGGTGTCTGCTGTAGTAGCAACGGCGGCAGGAACGGCGGTGTCTGCAGTAGCTGTTCTACTGGCAAGCTCAATGTCGAGTGCTCTGAGCTCAGCCTGAAAAGCAGTCAGCATCCATGGGAAAATACCCAGATCCAGATGAAGAGCCGGGATTACAACATTCTCCTCGGGAATAGGTAAGATCACTGGACGTATGCTGTAGTTCTTTGCATTCTTTAGATTTGAGCCACTGTTCGTGAATCCAGTGAAATCGTTGTACAGAGTTTCTAGTGTTCTGCTGGTAGAATCGGCATCTGGGTTTAGGGCTGGTGGAATGTCAATATCATTCTTCTGACATAGACAGTGTAAGCATGGTCGGGTGCCACTGGACCCCGACAAACCATATGCTTTCGTTTGATATTCGTAGTCGCCAAAGAAAAACAACTTGAACGACTTGTTCTTCCATGTTGCTGTTGTTTGCAGATCTCTGACCTCGTCACGATAGACTCCTGGCGCGGTTTCAAGGTTCGATGGCGTGTCTTGTGCCTCGAAGATGCAAATCGGGATAGTGTTGAGGAGTGAATTCGGCCGCTGCACATTCGCGATCTGCAGGACGAACTTGAAAGATCCTCCGCCGTGATCACCACCGAGTTTGATCCACAGTGGACGGACCAGTTCGCAAGCAGTTGACAGAACAGGTCGCTTGGCTTTGCCAGTTCTGAAGCACACAGGGTATGATGGCAGGCTGGACACTGCGCACCGTTGGTTAATGTTTGGCATATGCATTTCGTGCAAAATACTCTAGAACAGCATGGTGACGCTCGACGTGCTGCGGCAGATCATGCATTGTACTGTGGCTGCTGCACTGCTGTAGGCAAATCTTGACATGGTCAAATTGTACTCTGCTTCATAATCAGGTGCAGATATGTCATGCACCTCACTTTCAGGTATATCCATGCTATTGCTAGATGCACATGCACTGCTACTGCTTGATGTCATTTTTGCCGCTCCGCTTGCTGTTTTTATCTGTTTGCTTGGTCGGCCACCCTTCGATTTTTCTTGAAACTTGGTGCAGACTCTGCAATTCACAGGTTCATGTCTTTTCCAACTAATTGTTACCCCTTGTCCACAACCATCGCCACTGGGATTGAACTTTTCTGTGCTCTGTGATCTCTTCAGCACTCTTTGGCAAAGAGCACAGATATATGTTGGGTGTATGGTAGGGTCGTCATTACAAACATCAATACTGAATACGTTTTTCATCGTTTCAGTGTAGTCAGACACTGGATATCTCGTCTGTTGGGAGCACGCAGTAAATTTTGCGCCTCCTACACGGCATAGACGCTGTAAATGCGCTGCATGGTGCTCCATGTCGTGCGATGCGTCGCAGATGTGCATATCTCCCACTGGAAACAGAGAAAAGTAAAGGCCCATCGTATTTTTGAGTTCACCATCGTATTCAAAAGAACTCGCGAAAATATAACGGACAACTACCCGAGGATGCGAGGAAAACCTCGAGTGGTGACTGAATAACTCCAGAAGACGTACCACGAGCGTGATGAAGGTAGCTAATAATATACTGACAGCAATTTCAGTCTATAATTCCACTGCGCCAAAAAAGAAAGCAACTTCCTTCTCCTTCGTCCGATCAAGGAATGTTTGGTACCAAAATGTTGCTTTGCGCGTCAGCTTTCCACTCCCGCGGATTTAGTTTCAAAAATGTGGGGCTAGCGGCAGTAAATCGCGGAAGAATGATAGCAACTCACCTTAATATCAACGTAAAAATGATTAATCTTTGATTTTTTGCAAAAATCAGCGGGTGCCCCCCGCCATGTTAGATGGCCAAAAATCGCTGGCTGAAACAGCCGTGACTGCGTAACAGCCGTGCGTACCGGGCTGCAGGGCCACAGGCTCAGCACAGCAGTACAGGCGCGCGGCGCACCGGCTACCCGTGCAAGCGTGCCCAGTTACAGGTCGTCCCTCGTTAATACATAATCTCTGGGACTTGACAAAATTAATGTTATGTATTAACGGGGTTTATGTACTAAACGAAAGTGTACATAACTTGCTTGTATACCAGAATTTTTCACTTTTTTCAACTTTTCTGAGTGTTTCTTGCTACCAGTACAGTACCATCAAGAGTACATAACCAGGGTTATGTACTCTTGGTACCATGACTAGGCAGCGAGATATTCTTGATTCCCTCGATATAACATAAAAATTATGTTATAACGGTCACATTTAGCGAAGATTCTACAGTTGACATGGTACATGCCCAGCCGCACCTGTACAGTCACTCGGCAAAAAAACAGAGCTTTGTCGGTTTGTGATGTGCGCTCTGATTTCTATGCCTATTGCGTCCACAAGTAGAAACTAGAACACGATGTGCCTCCACTGGAAGGCCAAAAGATCAGTAAATTATGTACTATTGAGGTAGGTGACATGCGGGTACGGAGAAATGTTATGTACTAACGTACTAACGGATTATGTACTAACCGACAAAATTTGTATGGAAGTGACCACATTTCGTCCGGGACTTGAGATTTCTTATGTACTAACGGGGTTTATGTACTAACCGGACTCGTATTAACGGGGGACGACCTGTAGTTGGGCCTTGGTCTGCACTGCACCGGGCTGCAGGGCCACAGGCTCAGCACAGGCGGCGCACCGGCTACCCGTGCCCAAGTGCGCGGACAAGTGGCGCATGGCAGGCCGGCGCAGGTAAAGCCAGCCAGCCTTTTTTGGCCTTGGCCGATACCGCCTGCAGAAAATTGGCAGAATGTGTTTGTTTGTTTTTTTGTTTTTGTAGACTATGTAGTACTGAATAGCACAGAACCATCAGATGCTGCACAGCGGGGGCGGTGGCATATTGGATGGAAGTGGGGGCGGGCCAAAAGTAACTCCTCCGACCAAAGGTCTCGGATTCATCGTTACTGACCCATGTGCGTCATAGGAGAAAAGGACATGTGCATCCAAGAAGGAAGCACCGGCTTTGCAAACGATAATGGGGTCCATTATGGGGAGATTTTGAGATTGAGATAGGACATAACAAGCAGTGCACCGTGGAATTAGGAAGATGGAGAGAACTGATAATCGCATATTAAGGCTGAGCGAAGGGGATCAGAGAGGGGTAGAAGGGAGCAGGAGTGCGGCCAGTATACATGTGTAGTATCTCTAGCTCTGTCAGTGAACAGTAGTACATGTAGTCACACAGCCACATCTC